AGAACTATAGGCCTTCATATGGTCTAGCATGCCTAGGGCTTAACCCTAAACCCTATCGTTTTAAGGTTTCGCGATTAGGGAAGAAGGATGCTTAGGGCCTGGGTCTGGGGCCGGGGGGGGGGGGGGGGGGGGTGGGGGGCATCTGGGTTGTGGAACTTTCGGGCTTAGGGATCGTTTTGTTTAGAGGTTCACAGGCATCTTGAGGACGCTTAGGCGGCTCAGGATTTGTGTTTGGCTGCTGGACATCCGCCCCGACAAGCTCTGCCCCGCAAACATGCTTAGGGCTTATGGTTTATGGTGTTAGGGTTTAAGGGTTTAGGGTTTAGGGTTTTAGGGTTTTAGGGTTTTAGGGTTTTAGGGTTTTAGGGGTTTAGGGTTTTAGGGGTTTAGGGGTTTAGGGGTTTGGGAATTGAATACGAGGTTCTTACTCCGGAGGCAGGTTTCCTCGGAGCGCCAACCCCCAAGCATCTCATACTCCTGCCTGCAGTATAGACCCACACCTAAACCCTCGGGCTTCCACTTCAACTGGCCCACACCGACGCAGCATGGACTATGGGTTTGCCCTAAGCCCTAAGCCCTAAGCCCTAAGCCCTAAGCCCTAAGCCCTGAGCCCTAAGCCCTAAGCCCTAAGCCCTAAACCCTAAACCCTAAACCCTAAACCCTAAACCTAACCCTAAACCCTAAACCCTTAACCTTGCTCCCCAGGATCACCGCGCCTTCGTCACAAGATCCAAAAGCTGAACCCAATGAACCCATCACCCTAAAAACCCTCAACTCGAATCTTGGGATTTGGGGTTTAGGGTTTCTATTATTTGCTTGAGAACCCACCATTTTATTTTTAAGTGCTACTCCCTACATTGTCCTTAAAAGGAAGAATGTTTTCTTTATTATTATTTTTCTGGGGGGGGGGGGGGGGGTTTTCTTACGCAAATTAGTAGGTTTAGGGGTTAAGGTTTAGGGTTTAGGGTTTAGGATTTAGGGTTTAGGGTAACACGCCGGGCCTTCAGCATGGCCTGCCAGCCAACCTCCAGTGGGCGGGGGGGGGGGGGGGGAGTTCTTACTCGGTTTAGGGTTAGGGTTAGGGTTAAGGTTTAGGGTTTAGGGTTCAGGGTTTAGGGTTTAAGGTTTAGGGTTTAGGGATCATTCTATGCCGGAAGCCATCCGAAGGCAGCGGCCCAAGAGTAGGGCGAACCCTTAAACCAAACGCTTAAACCCCAAACCCTTAAACCCTAAGCCCTAAACCCTAAACCCAGGGTTTAGGGTTGAGGGTTGGGGCGGGGCTCTACCATCATTTGCAGGCCTCTACTATGACAGAAATGCTCGCCGGTAACGGGGCTTGTAACGGGGCTTGTAACGGAAACTGTAACGGAAAGGAGCGGAGCTGCAACGGACTTGTCGCGAGGCTGTAACGGAGTCGTATCGGAAGGCTGCAACGGAGCGCTACCGGCTGCAGCGATGCTGTAACGGAAGCTGTAACGGAGCCGTAGCAGAAGCAGCAACTTGATAACGGACCTGTAACGGAGCTGTACAACTGAGCTGTAACGGGAGCTGTGGCGGAGCTGTAACGGAGCTGTATAACTGAGCTGTAACGGAAGCTGTAACGGAAGCTGTAACGGAGCTGCAGCGGAGGTGCATCGGAGCTGTAATGGAGCTGTAACGGAGCTGTCACGGAAACTGTAACAGAAGCTGTGACGGAGCTGTAACGGACGTGCAACGGAGCTGTAGCGGAGCTGTAACGGAAGCTGTAACGGAGCTGTAACGGAGGTGCAAGGGAGCTGTAACGGAGCTGTAATGGAGGTGCATCGGAGCTGTAACGGAGCTGCAACGGAACTGTAACGGAAGCTGTAACGGAACTGTAACGGAAGCTGTAACGGAGGTGCAACAGAGTTGTAACGGAGCTCTAGTGGAAGCTGCAACGGAGGTGCAACGGAGCTGTAACGGAACTGTAGCAGTTGCTGTAACGGAGCTGTAACGGAGGGCCCACGGTGGGTAGCGCAAATCCCATAGTACATGATGGTAGAGCCCACCCCCAAGTTTAGGGTTAAGGGATATCCCTAAGTTTCGACGAAGAGCCGGCGCCGCCAGCCCTACCTGGAGATTAGGGTTTAGGGTTTAGGGCTTAGGGTTTAGGGTCTTTTCAAACCCTGAATATTTCAGAGCTTCCCAAAGCAGGGCTTCTCAAAATGAGGATACCCATTCATATTCTTTTTTTTTTTTTTGGGGGGGGGGTTCCTGTTGCAAGGGTTACAACTTTTTTTTTTTGCGGGGGGGGGGTATATCATATTTCCTACCACAGGTTACAGAGTTTCGAGTTGACGCGCTCCAGGCCTCCTTGAGTAGGCCCTCGAAGCCTCAAAACCCTCTCAGAAAGCCCTCTCTACGCCCTAAGCCCTAAGACCCTAAACCCTTAAACCCTGAGTCCTAAACCCTGAATCTAAGCCCGAATAGTAGGGAACCCATGAGGTTTCGGGGGCTTCGGGTTCCGGAGTTTGGGGGGGTTAGGGGTTACGGGTTAGGGTTTAGGGTTTAGGGTTTAGAGTTTAGGGCTTTTAGGGTTTAGGGTTTAGGTTTAGGGTTTAGGGTTTAGGGTGTGGGTTTAGGGTTTAGGGTTTAGGGTTTAGGGTTTAGGGTTTAGGGTTTAGGGTTTAGGGTTTAGGGTTTAGGGTTTAGGGTTTAGGGTTTAGGGTTTAGGGTTTAGGGTTTAGGGTTTAGGGTTGGGGTTTAGAACCCATGAGAACCCTAGAGCCGGCCTCTGACCGCGCCAGGCGAATGCCCCCCTCCAGGGCCGGGCCTTCTCACCAGGGGTTCAGGGCTCAGGGTGTAGGGTTTAGGGTTTGGGGTTTAGGGTTTAGGGTTTGGGGTTTGCGGTTTGGGGTTTAAGGTTTAGGGTTTAGGGTTTGGGGAAACTTAGGGTTTAGGGAGTTTCGGTTTGGGGTAGGAGTTTAGCATGGCTTCGGATGTAAGGTCTCGGGTCTAGCAAGCGGGCATGGGGGTGAGGGTTGAGCTCAGTGCCAGGGTTTTCTTTAGGATTCAGGATATTTTCTGGCGGCTTAGAGTTCACCTACCATGTGCTCATGTGCGGGAACCTTTCTCAATAGTGAATCCCTTGCAAAAGGACCCCTAAACCACTCACAAATGGGGGTTTACGAAAACAGGGGACCCCATATGTAGACCCGCAAATGGGAGGATTCCTTTATAATGGGGACCCCAATAAGGTGCCCCCTACTTCGGAAACCCGCAAACAGGTAGCCCTAAACCCTAAACCCTAAACCCTAAACCCTAAACCCTAAACCCTAAACCCTAAACCCTAAACCCTAAACCCTAAACCCTAAACCCTAAACCCTATTTTCAAAATCCCCGCGGACACAGCAAGGTCCCAGACTGGGCTCGGCGTGGGCCATGTTCAGCTGCTGCCGGCAGGCGACCAAAAGCTGGCAGCAAGGGTTTAGGGTTCAGGGTTAGGGTTTAGGGTTTAGGGTTTGGGGTTTAGGGTTTAGGGTGTAGGGTTTAGGGTTCAGGGTTTAGCTTTTAGGGTTTAGGGTTTCGGGAATCAGGGTGCAGGGCCTTTAGGAGTTCAGGCGGTTTCGGATTTAAACAAAATCGCCGACGCGTTCCAAGTTCATGGTCGGCAGCTTCTCTCTCAAGTTGCACGTGTTGCGAACAAGGCTGGTGGACAGAAGAACACTGCGTAATATAGGGGTCGGAAGAACTACTAATAGTATTATTTTGTTTTTATGGTCGCTATGTAATTATAGTATCATGACCCCCCCCCCAAAACCTTATTCTAATTTTGAAGGCCCATATGCTATACAAGGGGTATATAAACCCCAAACCCTAAACCTATAGACACTAAACCCGAAGCCCTGAACCCATCTAAGGGCCCACAGCAAGGGACCATGTACAGGCAAAGTTACACGCCTGACATTTTTTGACTCTGGAACGTGCTTCTTGCTCCGCTGCTCGCCAAGCCGCTGGGTCAGTCTTTGGAGGGTTAGGGTTTAGGGTTTAGGGTCTGCCGTCCCACCAGCCGAAATTCTGACTTTCCAGCAACTTTCGCGCTTGGCAGCAGCTGATGCTCAACCCAGCAGCAGATACAGGTTGAGGGCATGATGTAGCGTGTGTCTGCCAAGGTACTACTTACAAGTCATCTCGGCACGCCTCGTGTCTGCATGGCAGCGGTTCAAAATGCGCCCCAGCCCCCTGTCAACGTAAAACGCGCATGCTGGGGTTCAGACATGTTCAGACTTGGGAATCGAAAGAGCCCGAACGATCTGAGTGAAACTCTCCTGACCAAAATGCACAAAATCGGCTGCCCATGTCGACGCAGTTGCATTCATGGAAGGGCTTCCGCGGTTCAACGGTGCATGCACGTAACCGCTACTCACCATCAGCATGCCAACCAGATGACGGCAACACAGCAAAGACAGGAATATACTAGTAGGAAGCTGAAAAGAGAACGCCGGAAAAGCGGGGCCGACATGGGAACAGCAAAACAAACTCGGTGCTTGGGGCCACAATCGAAAGGAGGACCTGCTTTGGGCAGACGTCCTGCCTCGCTCCGCGAGGTAAACTACCCATGGCTTAAGAACCCCCACAAAAAAATCAACATATTCTTCCTTATCAGGGCAATCTAGGGATCGTCGTTGTTGATTTCTTGGGGGTTCTTAAGCAAACAGTAGTAAGTCATCCGGGCTCCACCCGGCGTTGTAGGGAATACCAAACATTGAACGGAGTCACTCATATGGCGCGTGGGCAAGATCCCAGGTTGGGCCTTATATCATCTGAAGAGAAAATATTCCTGAAGATCACCCTCTTTTAAGCCCAATTGGGGGGGGGGGAAATGATGAACATGTCCCAAGGGCCTCCCCTAAACCCTAAACCCTAAACCCCACACCCTGAACCCTAAATCCTAGACCCTCAACCCTAAACCCTAAACCCAAAACCCAAAACCCTAAACCCTAAACCAAGGAGCTACCGAGGCTCTTAAAAGCAAGCGCGTCTCACAACCAGAACCGCCCGCTCATTGGGCTGGCCGGCTCACTGTCAGACAAGCATCCACTAAGCCTTGGTAGCCCAGATGAGGGTTTAGGGTTTAGGGTTTAGGGTTTAGGGTTTAGGGTTTAGGGTTTAGGGTTTAGGGTTTAGGGTTTAGGGTTTAGGGTTTAGGGTTTAGGGTTTAGGGTTTAGGGTTTAGGGTTTAGGGTTTAGAGTTTGGCTGGCTACTTTTGTAAGGGAACCCCGAAACCCAAAAAGGGCAAAAGGGTACCCCTCAGCTACCCAAGAAGCCATGCGGTGGAGGCGCTTTCGGTTCCCTCTGCCTCCTGGCTCATTTTCGAGAACCCTTCCAGAGTGAGGGGCAAGTGCATGGAGCTCAGAATGTAGCCCATGGGCGTCGTTGCCGGTGGATCGAGCATGGAATCCTCCGCGTTGAGCCTCGGTTGTTTTGACACAGACTCCGCAGGAGAAAGGCTCGATTCTCCTTGACCGCTCAACCACAAAACGCCCCTTCGAAAACAAGCTCTCACAACACCCCTACCCAAAGCCCAAAACCCAAGCCTTCAATTTAGCCCCTGAGCGCCTAAGGCCCAAAAAGCCCCTTAAACCCTAAACCGTAAACCGTATAAACCCTAAACCCTAAACCCTAAACCCTAAAGCAGCCACCGGGGAGCATCGAGACTTTCGGGAGCGCGGCCGGGGCCCGGCGTTCCAGCCCAGGGGGTGGCCGGAAGGCGAACATGGCCGAGGTTGGCCTGGGGTGCTTTTCTAAAAAGGTTCTTAAGGGAGGGGGGGTTTAGGGTTTGGGGTTTGGGGTTTAGGGTGTAGGGAGGTTTAAGGGGGGTATGTAACGCAAGGTTCCAAAATCCCTGACGCTCCCTAAGCTTCCCTAAGGTTCCCCAGGTACAGGGAACAAGGGTTTTAGGGTTAAGGGTTTAAGAGTCTGGGGATCGGATTCGGGGCTGAACTTAGGGCCATCAGGAAGCCATCCTTTTCTCTATTTATCGCAACATAACCCACCCTAAACCCTACGCCCTAAACCCTAAACCCTAAACCCTAAGCCCTCAACGCTAAATCCGAAACCCGAAACCCTAGCTTCATCAACGGCAACCCAGTAGCGCCACGTGGTCCGGCTCTTGGTTGATCGTGGAGGGAGGCCTTGGTCCGATTGTTGTTTCTCATGTTTGATAATTGTTTTTTCACATTTTTTTTTTGGGGGGGGAGTGGCTTGGGGGGTGCCCTAAACCCGATATCCCAAACCCTAAACCCCAAACCCTAAACCTTAAACCCTAAACCTGGAACCCTAAACCCTAAACCCAATTCCTAAACCCCAATTCTTAAAGGCTTTCCCAGGAGCTGCCGAGGCGGGATCTTCCCCGGCTGGCGGCAGCGCTTCTCCGGGCGACGAAGCTCAGCTCCTTGGTGCCCCAGCCGGCGAGGACGAAAGGGTTTGGGGTTTGGGGTTTGGGGTTTAGGGTTTAGGGTTTAGGGTTTAGGGTTTAGGGTTTGGCGTTTGGGGTCTAGGGTTTGGGGTTTAGGGTTTGGGGTTTGCTTTAGTATGGCGCAGATGCTGTGAAGGTTAGGATGCAGAAGAGGATCGAAAGCTTCGTCAGGTGCAAAGAGCAGCCGTGGCCCGATTGTGGAAGGCCATCTAACACTTTCTCCACCCCATGCCGTCTAAGGCGGCAAGGCCATCCCAACCTATTCCCTTTGGGGTTTGGGCCCAAACTCAGGTCAAATGCCTAGCGCAGTGTCCTGGACCGCAGTGGGGTACCCCTCTCCAAAGCAAAACATTTTACGGGGTTTGGGAAAATGACTGGGATGTTCCCCCGTATACTAACAGTCCTTTACAGGGATGATAGTAGGGGGTACTGTAATCCCTATTAAGGACTGCTGGTATAAGGGGGAACATCCCAACCCTAAACCCTAAACCCTTAGTATATGGGGGGTACATCCCAAGATAATGATAAGTTTCATAAGGGACCAGGACTGGGCCCGAGGAGCAGGGGGCTCCTTCGAGCTGTGGGTGAACGACCTGGCTCGGCTTGCGCCTTTGAAATCACAACTGTCAGGGTTTAGGGTTTAGGGTTTAGGGTTTAGGGTTTAGGGTTTAGGGTTTAGGGTTTAGGGGCTTAGGCGCCGCCCCTACTGGAGTCTGGGGTTTAGGGTTTAGCTCTTGTTTTCTAGGTTGGCCCATGAAACTCTCTGAAAACATATTCCGAAACTCCTACAAATATGATCCTCTTGAATTCTACAAAGAGAAAAGTCTAGATATCAGAGTTTTCTTGCTCAATGAGGTTGTAAAAGCTCATAACCAAAAGGGGGTCACAACAACAAAAGGAGTCCGAGGATCTTCCGTGGGCAAACTTGCATGCCTCGCCGTTCTTGCAGACACCTTTCCGCGTGAACTGGTAGCAAAGCTGCGTTCCCACCAGATCCGGCTGACTTTTCAACTGTAACTCGGAGTGCGCAAACTTGCAGTCGGCTCCAAGGGTGCACCGATTTGCTTGCCAGTACTTGCACATCCTCGTGAACTTGAGGATCTCCCGGGTTTCCATCTGTGCATGGGACATGCCGCACCGAGTTGTGGCTGGCACGCCCTACAGTCGCCGTGTACGATCCTGATTGACCCGGCACGCTCAAGGCACGAGCACTCTGCAAGCCACATCTTAAGGCACAGCTACTTGGGTTTCGCGGCTTGGGGGCGGTTGTAACTAACCATGCTGGGTGCGCCTTAAACCCTAATACACTGTGCACTAAACGGTGGCTAGTCAGTTCGACCCACATAAGAACTAAGACCGAGATATCGACAGAACCCAATCGGCACGCACACACACACACACACACTCACACACACACACACACACACACACACACACACACACACACACACACACACACACACACACACACACACACACACACACACACACACCCACCCACCCACCCACCCACCCACCCACCCACCCACCCACCCACCCACCCACCCACCCACCCACCACGCACGCACGCAGGCAGGCAGGCAGGCCCGCACGCCCGCACGGGCGCAGAGACACGCAGATACAGCTACATATACAAATACTGTTTTTTACTAATTATAATAATACTAGCAATGCTTCCGAAAATAAACAGGCACCATCAACAAAAATATCAAAGACATAAACAAGCAACTAAGCATTTAACCAATGAGGTACCTATCTTTTCAGCCTGAGGCAGATGGGATTCGACAAGCTTGCCTTGAAGCACGACTTGGAGGTTCAGGGTACTTAGCAACCCAATTATAACTGTAGTTATAACCCACATATCAGCCCCTTAAGTACCCCAATAGGGTTACAATTGGGTTAGAAGTACAGATATTTTTGGGATACGAAGTACCCTGAACCTCCAAGTAGCTAGCGCGCAGGGCAGGCCTCGAAAAGGTCACGCAGCCGCCACAGCCTCGGCCCTAAACCCTAAACCCTAAACCCTAAACCCTAAACCCTAAACCCTAAACCCTAAACCCCCAGACTTTGGGCTTTGGGGCTTGGTCGGGTATAGGGCCTCAGGACCTTCGAGTTGTGGTCCTTCACCTCGCCTCAGCAGCCCGATCGTCTTGATCTATGTTAACTGTAATATATGAGGATTGCCCTCAGAAGCCTAGTAGGGTTTAGGGTTTAGGGTTCAGGGCTTAGGGTTTAGGGCCAGGGTTTAGGGTTCAGGGTTAGGTCCTGAATATGATCCTCTTAAACCCAATAAGGGAAAATATAAAAAAAGGTCCCAAGGGCCTACCGAGCATATGTAGGATGTGAAAAGAATTTCGTGTCGTACATGTATTTTATGCAGCACATGTAACATATTTAATATATTCAACATTTGTATGTTCTGTTCAATATATACATATATGAATATGTGTATGTGGTCTCTGGCCCTAGGCCCCCCCCCCCCCCCCCTCTCCAACCCCCCCACCCATCAAGGTAGAGCACCCTACCCCCCGCCCCACCACCACCCCTTGCTGCTCAGCCATTTTGTGGCAAGGTTTCCCATTGAGCATGCCCACGCGTCCCTCCTCCCTTGACCTTCCTCTTCAGCCCATGGTTTTTGGTTAGATTTTTCCCCTAATGTGGAACATGTTGCTCTTCCCCACTTGCGCCCCTCGCCCATTGGTTAGATTTACTCCCCTCCCCCCCTCCCCCCCACCCCCCCCTCCTTGTGATACAGTTAGATGGCTTGATGGTTGCCTGCCGCTTCAGGGCACTTCCACACCACCAGGAGGGCGGGGGGGGGGGCGGAGATTGACACCCGAAAACATGGCTCCACTTACATGTTCCATACCACAGGGAGGGGGGGGGGGTATTGAATCTAACCAACAACATAGGCGGAAGAGGAAGGGGGCGGGAACCATGGAAGTTGGACGACAATGGTCCACACCACGGCGGCGGGGGGGGGGGGTTGAAATCTACCAAAAGCATTGATACCATGGGGGGTGGGGGTGGGAGGGGGAAGGCGGGGGTGGCAGCCCTGCACCACATCTACATATGTGTATATATATGTATGTATATATATATATATATACAATTTCTATATTCTGTATTATCTTTATATCGTATATGTATGTATCGAATATGCCCTCAAAGCACGCCGAGGGCCCAGCCCGGAGCGCGGTCGGAACAGGATCTCAGCCTGCCGGCGGTTTGAGGCCCTGACCGAAAGGTTTTTCAGGCTTGTTCGGCGTGGCGGAGCGAGAATTTAAGGGTTTAGGGTTTAGGGTTTAGGGTAAGCCCCCAGATGCTAAATTCATCGCAATCCTGCACCTCCCTTGGTGCCGTCGCGAGCATCTTAAGCGTTTGAGCATCGTGTTCAGGCACATCACTTCGTGAAAACTGAGGCAGGGCCGATCCTTTTGTTTGATCCTATGCACATCTTGTTTTGCAGAAGAAAAAGAACGATGACGCAGGTCCTCCATCACTTGCGGGCGCTTTGCATGATACGAAGCATGCAAGAACACTGCATATGCTGTGGACTCGGGCTCCTCGTGAGAAATAGGGGGCAACCATGTCTCTACAGCGGCGGGGGCTGAATCTCCTGGAGTTATTTATTACGAATAGCGGCCTTTCTTGAATCTCCGTACTGTCAATGCTTGCGGCTCCCACCCTACACCCTAAAACTGGAGCTTCGCGGCGCAGGTCTTCTAAGGGTGCAGAGCCTGACGGTCAAAGTGATCGAACAGCATCGCTGAGTCCTGCGATGTGCATCAGCCTCTGTACCCAACCCAAAACTGCTCAGTCCAAACCCTAAACCGTGAACCCTAAGCCCTGAAACCCAACGGTTTAGGGTTTAGGGTTTAGGGTTTAGGGTTTAGAGGGTAACCAACTTGCAACGTTGCAGCGACTCCTGCGTCACGCCAGAGAAGCGGCTGATCCGACCTCGCGGCGTGGCCCCAAAACCCTTCGAAAACGGAAACCCGAAACCCGAAACCCGAAGCCCTAAACCCGAAACCCGAAACCCTGAACCCCAACCCTCCCAAAAAGACATTCTGCAACACTGCCCTACACCTACTGCACACCAGCGGTTGGCTTTTCAGGACTGAGGTTTGCAAGAAGTTTGTTCAACTCCTTCTGAAAAGTTGGGAATTTCGGGTTTAGGGTTGGGTTAGGGTTTAGGGCTTCACGAGTGTTTAGTTAGGGTCTATAGGGTGCAGGCTACAAAGTCTAAGATTTGTGGCACCCTGTCCCTTCATCCCTCCACCCAATGTGCTCGTTCCTAAACCCTAAACCCTAAACCCTAAACCCTAAACCCTAAACCCTAAACCCTAAACCCTAAACCCTAAACCCTAAACGCCCCCCAAAAGCCGCCAACTCGATTGGAGCTCAGGGTTCAGAGTCTAACCCGGGTGTAGTTCTGAGGGTCAGGGCTGGAGATTCCGGGTCATCCTGAGCCAGCTTCTGGTATGAGTACCCCGGCCCAAAAAAAGGTTCACCTTGAAATTGTGGTGGGATTGTATGTACCCCCCAAAAGGTTCAAGGTTATCTTCTCAGCTACTATGGTATAGAGGACAGAATGAGGGCCGCGCTTTGTGTGCCACGCCGCCTGAGTCCTTCCGAAAGCAAGGCTTCTCAAAGGGAATCGCTTAAAAGCTCCGCGAGATCCCTAGAGGAGCCAAACAGCTTACCTGCATCATCTCCTTGTAACAAAATTATGCTAGGTTATAAAATTATAAGCTGCCCAGGTCCAAGTTACCCAGTCTAACCATAATGTTGGACGCGCTTTAGTAGGGGCCCGCTGAATTTAAGTCAAGTTGGCTTCAGGCTCTGCTGCTTTTACACCTGATCCTAACCGAAAGTCCTAAGCCCCAGACTGCTTTCACTCTTCTTCGGCTTGTGTGTTGCGGGTTTTAGGGTGTAGGGTTTTAGGTCCCTAAACCCCATCCTGGCGGGTTCAGGGCTGCGGCAACCGGCCCAAAGCAGTGACCAAAACAAACAACCAAGACAGATTGCTTGCTTGCACCAGATTATATTACACATGAACCTCCAAACCCACAATCCTGCAAACCCTGAACCCTAAACCCGAAACCCTAAACCCTAGGATTGGGTTACTACTAGACCCTGAACCCTAGACCGGACCCACCTGCATCCACGATGGTGGAGAGGCCGCCCCTCTGCGGTGCTGCCAAGGCTAGGGTTCGAGTTTCGGGGTTCAGGGTAGAGAAGAACGAGCAGGAATCCAATCCTAGGGTTTAGGGTTTAGGGTTTAGGGTTTAGGGTTTAGGGTTGAGGGTTGAGGGTTGAGGGTTGAGGGTTGAGGGTTCAGGGTTCAGGGTTCAGGGTTTAGGGTTTAGGGTTTAGGGTTTAGGGTTTAGGGTTTAGGGTGACCACAGTCTTACACAACATGCGGGCAAAGAGGTTGCAAGACATCGGATAAAACTCAAACCGTTGCTCGAGGAATCCGACCTGCACCTTTTTCTAAGGCCAACAGTCCGCGTGATTCCTGTGGATGGCACCTGATAGCTAAAGGCTAAAGGCACATTCGCGGATGGCCTCCTACTGATACTGCGGCTGCTACTGTTGCTACTACTCCTAGTGCCACAACGACGACGACTACGACTACAACAACAACTACTACTAAACTACCAGTACTACCACTACCACTCCTTCCTACTCCTATTCCTCCTACTCCTCCTCCTACTACTACTACTACGACGACTACTACTACTACTACTACTACTACTACTACTACTACTGCTACTACTGCTACTACAAGCAAAACACCTTCGATACAAGCTCCCGACCTGGTTCTTGCCCGTGTTGGCAAAGAAATAGCAGTCCCGAAAACCCTGCGGTCGTTACGGCGGCTAGGTCCCCGGACGTGCAAGTGTCCAGAACCTGATGGGACGGGGTATGTTTAGGGTTTCGGATTTAAGGTCATAGGTGGGACGGGGAAGGCATGGCCTGTATATGCCGCCCAGGGCTTGCCACTCCCCACACAGCGGTCAAAGTACTAGTAACCACCCCCCCCCCCCCCCCCGGGTACCGACTACCCCAACTTGAAGCATTTTACTATGTTTGCGTGGGAATGCCCAAAGCATCCACGTCCTCAG